TGTCAGCTCTATTTAATGTCTGGTGCTTTGCTTTCGCTGGATTTAAATAACCTCAGCCAAACTAAAGCCTACGCAATACGCTGTTCCAAAATATTCTGCATCCCCTGAATACGCGCAGCGCGCACATATCAAATGGTGGGTCTGAAGATGCGCTATGAATGAAATACTTGTTTGGCCCCACAGCCCAATCATTCCCACATGCACATAGCACTGATGCACCTGTACCTGACAGAGTGTTTCACGCCAATGCTTCGTTTTCGCTTTGCCATAGTACACAGGCTCTGAACATCTCCATTCTACTCCCATTGCCCAAAAGGTAGTTGATATTTCATTTACTCCCGCGACTTGCCTCTTCCAGTGGCTGTTCGCTGTTCGCTTGTTCGAAATGACTGAGCTGTTTTACTGGCCTGACTTTCCCCCTGACCGGATAAAATATCCGGTAGCTGGAGTTATTTATTAATGCACAAGCCGCACTTATGACTGCTTGGATGGTTTTCCACCTTGCAGATCTGGCAGCATGCACGAGGGATGAAAACCTCGTGTGGTGGACGGGTACGCTCTGCAGGGAGGGTCGCCCTGTTACGTTGCACCATGGTGCGTTCGTATACTCGCCACCCCTCCAGTAGCACGGGTGTATCGTCCATCGCCGGTGGTTCTGAGCCTAGCCCTTAATTCGGGAAAACCAAAAAAGACCATCGTTACTGTTTGTTTGTAGCTGGATTGGCCTTGTTCCGGTTGCCACTTGCCCCACAATATCAAGAAATACAAGCGGACAACATCTGTCCTCCCGTTTGTTCTAAAAAATAAATAAATAAATATTAAAAAACATTCATGGATGGGGTACCTCGAGAGTACCTGTGAGGCTTACGGCTAACGTCGGTGTGCAAGGTGTTGCCACTCTCATCTTAGTGGGGTCACACCAACCCTAGTCCACTTCATCACTCAAACATAGCACACATGTTCTTCCCTCTTGTCACCTAAAGCGATCATATGCACAAAAAGCTAATAACTTATGATTTCTTGATTACAAGCAGTCACAGCTAGCACCTAATGGCTGTTTTTTGCCATGCACCATTCGTTTTCTGGAGTTGACTCGGTGACTGGTGACCCTTAATCTTACTTTCCTGTTAGGTTGATGCAGTAGACCTCAGTTAAGCTACGATTCTTACCACTTATCTGGGAAGCTGTTGCCTGTCCGCTTCCCACTTGTCCACTGTCACTGCTGACATCAACCCCTCTTTCTGCACAACAAGGACCCGATGTCATGACGCTTTGGTGAGCAAATAAAATACCGCCCGTTTTCAAATAGTCCAACAGCTAGCCCCCTGCTAGCTACCTCGACGACAAAGTTTTCACCTTCCTAAAACTAGGCACATACTCTGGCCCAACTAGTACTTGGCTTCTAGATCAGCAAATGTATTCACCTTTCTTGGGTCCATTTAGCTTGCAGCCATCCCTTTTTAGATTTTTTCTATCGACGCCGTTGTATCTCATGCCTCCTAACCTTCACGGCTGTTTTGATCAGTTACACCCAAATCCACTTATTTAAAAGATTAGAGAGAACGAGTGGGGATTTTAACATTACCCACACGATAAGGAAATGAGACTTCGAGCAATTAGTTGCACGCTCGCAAGTAGGCTTTTTGTGTCCATTGGACATAAAGGTTGTTTTAATATCTCAAAATTCTTCTGTTACTCTAACGATTTTTAGCAATTATTCGAATTTGGCGGTGGATCGTAAATAGGTTCTAGAGTACAAATAATCACAAAATGTCTCCAGTTGAAGAGGAAGATTTAGGCTTTGAGCACTTGAAACTCTCAGGAGTGATAGGATTAAATGGTAAGGAAAATGTTTGACGAACACTCTCTTTTTAACGTAGGGAAAATTCCACATTCATTCACGATGCACCCAGACAGGCAACACGCCGTCTTCGCTTTGGGGTGCACAGTGATAATCCAGGACATGAATACACATGAACAGCACTTTCTACAAGGTCATACGAATAACATAGTCTGTCTGACAGTTAGCAAAAACGGAATGTATATTGCATCCGGACAAACCACATATATGGGCTATAAAGTAATCGAGTTTACCACTATCTCAAACCCCGAAGGCTTCTATAATTGTATGGAATTATGAAACACGGGAAAAATATGCGGAATTCGTCCTACATAAGGTCAAGGTTCAGGCCTTGGCTTTTTCTCCTAACTCAATGTATCTTGCCAGCCTCGGCGGGCAAGATGACGGGAGTGTTGTGATATGGTCAATAGGAAAGAAGGAAGCCATATGTGGGAGCCCAGCCCAGCATCAAAGTGCTGGGATAACTTTGGCCTTGGCTTACGCGAACCTCGACGAAGAAAAATTCATCACAGCTGGAGAGTAAGTTGTGTTGTTCCAACAATACTGTTTCAGAAATACTGTCCGAATCTGGCAGCTGGACTTGGAGAATCGGAAAATACGTCCAAGAGATTGCGCCCTTGGCCAGATTAAGAGAACTGTTCTATGCATTGCTGTATGATTTTTAGATGAAACGTACATGACTTCGCATATTTCAGGTGTATCCGGACGATGACCTGTTTTTCTGTGGTACAAGTAGTGGGGACATTCTTGGAATCAATATGCACTCTGCTTTACTTCAGATTGTCTCACCAGAAAAGAACAAGTACAGTCTAGGTGTTTCGACTATAACTGCCATGTCAAACTCAACTCTACTTATTGGAACTGGAGACGGTGTGGTGCAGGAGTGTGCGATTAGCTACAATCGGGAAGGACACCGGTGCTATCCGAAACTGAGCCGCACAAAGTGAGTCAAGGAGTGCATAGTGATGGGTTTAAGAGTGGTCTCCGCACGTTTGGAACTGAGTGGTTCAACTTTCGACCAACTCGATTTTTCAGTTTTGGACATGCTGGTTGAACAAAACCTTTCTCCGTTGGTAATGTTCGGTAAATTAGAGACGTTATCTATATTAGCGGTTATTTGTTAAAAAAAAGAGTTATTTTGAGCGAACGTAATCCTGTCAATCTTGTTAGGATGGTTTTGTTCCTATAGCGTGATTCGAAATATGCCTCAGCAAAACTTCTGTGACACATCCGTAAGAATTATGCAGAAAGATGATGTGATTTTACATATACCTATATGTTATGTACATAAAAGAAATATAAGTCGATTCCATCAGTGGGGCACCCAGAAGCTGCCGAAAGTTTCGGTCGCTTCAGCTTTTCTATCAACACTCTTACAATATAATCTACATTTAACGTGTTCCAGTATATTCACAAAATATTTGACGAAAAAAGTTACATCGCTAGTGGTGAGCTTAAGTAAACTAATATCAATATCCAACCATCTCTTGGATATTCTGAAAACTTTGGTGAAGTACCATTACTAAAATAAAAAATATTTTGTGTTCGTCAGCACCAGGCAGCCAATAAAGCGCTGCCAATTTTTAAGCTTCATAGCTCATCGTGGCTGAGAATCTCCAAGAATATGCCTGCTCAGTCAACTGCACTACACAATTGTTTTTCTTGATTAATGGCGTTATCGGTCTTGCAGCCCAAAATGTGATATTCAAAAGTAACAGCTGGTTCGTTGCAAAGTTTTACGATCAACAAAGCCATTCTGCGAATGCACAGTTAGTTACACAGTATATTTTTGTGTTGCCCCTGAAGCATAAGAAAAATACAGTGCATGTTTTGGATTTTAAATAAAAAAACTCGGATTTTTTCAGTGGTCTCATAGTCCATGTGAGAAAATTATTGTGGTAGTCATTCCTTCAACCGAAGAGTTTCGAAAGCAATACAAGCCTTATAAGACATCCTATGAGCTTGGGATAGCTTGATGGTTAAAATAATAACCCAAAATTTGTGTTTCTAGTCTAATACGATTATTCCTATTGCTCTTGTCAAAGCTTTGGAAACCTCGTAGTACCTCAGACCTTCTGCTTCTTTTGCATGGTATGCTAACTCGGGTGTTGGCGGGACATTACAGCTGATCAATTTTTATTTTTTCACGAGCTAATCGTTATCCAGGTAATGTAATGACAGGCAATGATCAACCGTTGCTCGTTGTAATCGATGGAAATATCGCCTAATAATGTTCGTTTTTGGTTTATCGGTAAGTGCCCTTTTGCAAGCGATGTCCACTGTTCTGAAAATAGGCACTAAAACTAAATAGTCGGTGGTCAGCATACATCTGCACCTAGCGCTACCATCTCCTGTGCGTCTCGTGTATAATGCCAGACAGCTCCCCATTTCAGCTTCAGCTGCCTTATGTCTGCCTATGTGAGTCTCTATGGTGCCTTTGATCACATAGGTACATGAGAGATACTTAACATCGCCTATCATTATCGATATTCTTTAAGGACATTGCGCGCGGGGCTGACTGACATCGGGCATCTGATCGAATATAGATGCTTTTTATGTGCGCCTCAACACAATGCTTATTCTAGCCTACCCAGATGCAGAGGCCTCTGTGTTACTAGAATTGTGTAGGTAAAGGCAGCGCATTCAGCTACAGTACATGCCCGTTGGATTTTGGTTTTGATCCTGCGGCATTACTCAGCAGAGGTGTTTGTTTTTCAGTAGCACCTGGATGCAGTCAACGTCATCTGTATTCTGTTATCATTCTGAGTCAACAGCTTTGAGTTGAGACCACAAAAACCGACTCTACAACCGACAGCTGACTGAAACTAACTTACAAGATATTTGTTAACGCTATCTAGAATGACCTTTTTGTGCTGCACTCTGCATGTAGTCGTAGAAATTTTGGGAAACTCTTTTTTGCTTTCTAGTTATTTAAAAATGGTCCAGACCGTATTTTCAGTTGTTGCGCCAGAGTAAAAACAAACATCTTGCACAAAAGTAAAAGCAATAAATAGACTTCTATTCGATCACAAGAAGCTGCAAATAAGCCCTTAAAACTCATGTTTGCAAAATTTAATTGCTGTGTATCGCTTGAAATGGTCGCCACTTCTTCAACATAGATGTAAGTTTTTTATTATACAAGTTATTAGATGTCAAATCTACATTAATTAGGGATAATACGTAAGAAATTAGTTTGGTTGAGTGCGAAACTGCTTTCTTTATAAAGATTTAAATGTTTATACAGTGGATGACTGCGCCACAATAAGGTTATTTGAAAGCATCCTGTTTATCTCAAAAGCGCCACTTTGTCGGTATTTTCAGTCAGGACACGTGCACTCAGCAGTGATTTGCTTTTTGGCTTAATGGGGAAAAGCTGTGCTGTTAGTTTGTTGATTGCATACGGCATTTCATCGTGTTTGTGGGCAAAGATTAGCAGGCATTCCCTTAAAGTGCTATTGCATACCTGAAAGTTACCATTCAGATGAATAATGCTGACTCGGAGAAAAAGTTGCGCGAGAGGTTGGCCTTTAGCTTAGATTTACTGGCCCTGAACTGGTCCCACTAAATGACGAGTTCAAGACTCAGCGTCATGTTTTCAACTCTGCTGGCTTCACATATCCTATAGCTAACGAATGAACTGATATTCATATCAAACAAGACAGCAGTGCGGAAGCGCAGTTATGTGAAATTTGTTATTGACTTTCTTAGTCATATGTTTATTTTCTAAGCAGACAACCCTTAATCTGAAATGAAAGTGACAGAACCAAATGATTTTATTCTGCTGCTTCAGCAAGATAGTCTCTTGTGTGTCACAATTATTCTGTGCTATATTTGGGACGGTCAGAGCGCCTTAATTTTTTCACATTTTTCTACACAGACAAGAGCAAAAGTTGTCCGGGAAAGTAACGGCTATCAGTTTACGTGGAGAAGGCCATCAGTTTTATGTTGCAACCGATAAATGCAATCTCTATCTGTTTAAACACGCTGATTTCTCTCAGGAGTTGATCTACTCGTCTCATTACGCAGCTGTAAATGATATCCGATTCCCAAAGTAAGTTTCAAATTTCATTTTCTAGCATTACTATTCAAGTTTAATTATGATGATGACGTAACCTGTAAGCTTTTGGAAGCCATAAACACTGAAAATTTTGGACAGAAAACTCGTTGATCTACCTACTGTTATTCACCAAATGTTTTCTGCGAGCCATGAGCCACCATATTTGAAGGCACTTAGCTTGATCTTCCAACGAATAGATACCAAACATGTGATACTATAAATTTTATACTGTAAAAGAGAATTAAGCAGCTTATCAAACTGGTATGTGTGTCTGGCAATATCCAGTAAAAAAGCCGGTGTTGGCAAGTTTTAGACGCAAATCCGGGAGTGATCTTTCAGCCAGCCAGTCAGTTCTACAGGACACTGTATGCGCCATCACCTACGTCGGTTGTATAGAGTGTTCTTTAAGGTTTTTTATTTACTCTGTCTAATCAAATGCACCAAAATCAAAAATTTTCCAAACAAACAGGAATCTGTATTCATTTTTGTTTCTGTCTTCGTTTACATAACATGATGTCATCAAGATGTCATCACAGAGAGCATGACATCAGTGTTCAACACCGATGCTCTGCAGTCACATTTTATATTAAAGCCTTATTGTGAAGAAAAAAATGAAGGTAGGCAGAAAGAGACTTGAAACTATCTTACCAAAATCATTTCTACACCTCTCAACACTCATTCAGATAATCTGGATCGAAATTGACAACGCGGAAGTCAGTGACATTGATTAGCATCCCTGGCTTGCAGCGTCTCCAGTCAGGCGCATTGGAGGGTTCCGCGGTCTTTGTCCTGGTGGCCAAGTAGCATCAATGGAACCTAAATATCTTGTAATCGCTTTCTTTTCCTTCCGTCAGGTCAAGGTTGGCCACCCCTTTGCCTCTGTCACTCTTAACTGAGCACGAAAAACAGCGTTCTCTTCGACAAACTATGGTTTGGCATGCGCGATACACGGCTTTACCAACCCAGATTCTGATGCTGGACACACTTTTAAATGAAAGTTTCTGTTGCATAACCAAAAAGAAGCTTTATAGCTGCCTCGTTACAAATCCCCCGACGCCATCGTAAACCAACATCAGTCAGTCATCCTGGACATAATTCTGGAGCTCATTTTTAGGAAGTACTTAAATTCAACTATGGTGCTGTTGAAGACTATGGTGGTGCGGGTGCTGATGATGGTGATATTGATGGTGATGATGTTGACGATATAGCAAAAGTCACCAGCCACCTCACAACCGAAAAAGCGATCCCTTGGGATCCAGCGCCAAGCATAACTAATTTGCTTAAGGATGATTTGCAGAAGCATGTCACATGCTGGCCACTTTAACACAGCATAAAACCCATTGTTTTACCCGCACTCGATTGGCTTCACGTTGTCTAAGACGGCGAGAAACTAGCGGTGATTTAATTCTTTGTAACTTTAAGGCAGCTGGATGCGAAATCACTAAGTGAATTGTCCAATTAGTGTCAAACTAAAGCCCAGTAGACGGCGAGGATCTTTCAAGTCAGAATAACTCATATTAGTGGACGAAAAGGCAAACCGGCGTGAAAACGAAACTACTATATAACGTAGCAGCTTGATATCTCGCAGAATGGGATAAAGTGGCTGTCCATGGCTAATCAATGTTTTGTTCTAACAAGGATGACCCTTAAAACGGTAAATCGCTCAGCGTAAAAACCTTTGTGCGCACAGGTGCTCCCAAAAGGAGGTAAGCCAGCCCCATGAATATTTCGGATTAAAGCTGTCCATGCCTGATAGTCGACGGAAAAATTTCAATACATGGCGTTTAATTTTGTTCGTAGCGTTATATATTGTAAGTAAAACAGTGTCTAAACGTTTTGAAGCCTGAATTATTTGCACGGGACCATGAATTTAATGCATCTTCGTAAGGGCAAAACCAACCAGAAGAATGTCCTTAAGCGACAAGTTTTCTCACTTTTCCATTTTTGGCTCAGGGAAAAGATTTTTTACCTATCAGGTCTCCTGTAGTCTATCATGCTATATAACTTCTACCTTTAAGTATGAAAGCATGAGCGAATAGTTCGGCGTCTGCCCCATCTTATCGTCTCACCAATTACTGCCGTGTAGGTGAGGTTTTTCCTCTAAGGCTAGGACCTACAGAGACAACTAGCCGACATCTTATAAAACAAAATTAATCCACCTCCTGTTCCTAGATGCACAACCGCCTTCATCTCTTCAGTAGACAATGGCATGAGCTAAACTCAACAAGTATGACAGCGTTTTTGCAACAAAGCTCGAGGAACTCAGTTAACCATGTATATATCCGATGTCTCATGGTTCTGTTTGTTTTCGGTGGGTATCCGCTCTCGAAAAATGCATAATTAATTAAATTCCTTAGTGTGATGTACACAGCGTTTGTGTACCAGATGCACACTGGTTGGCTAAAGAAACGGTTCCAACATTACAACTGAATATTCAATAATACGGTTTTTATAAGTGGTTGATGTGGCGGCGTTTGTATAATTCCAAATACTGTCTTAACTTATAATCTATCTACAAATCACTTTAAATGGCAAAGTTAAGTTACGTGGCGTAACGAATGCATAAAGGCGTAAAGAAAACAGTACCTAGGGCCGGAGTGACTGACTGAAGGTTACCGTGGGCACGATTTAGTGTGATTCAAACGTATGGGTTCTGTGAGGCGACTAGGTCGTAGAAGACGTCCAGTCAAATTTTTTCTGTAGTTTAAAGTTCCGGTAGAAATTTGTTACCCACCATTTTGTGTATAAAGGTGGTTAGAAGACTAAACTCCGATAAAGACTTCTGAGCACAGCAACAATTTATTGGATAACATATCGTTTTTGTCAGCGTTGTGTACCTCTTAATTTCAGAAAAGAAGCATCACAGTTTACATAGATATCAGCTATACCACAACACATGAGGATTTCCATAACGCGTGGTGCGTGTATGTGTAAATACAGTCAACCTAGGTTTTAAGTTGCTAACGGGCTCCAGTGTTTCAACCGCTACACAGCTGGATGACAAAATCTGATGTAAGTTCTTTGCTGCCTTCAGACGGTAAATCCAGGTATTTTGGTTGAAGTAGAGTGGAACGAAGCAAATAAAACACTGCTAACCGATCCACTCGCTTCCTGTAGTTGTGCTGGTGTACCAAGACGGAATGCCTCAACCAGAGTAAATGCGGATTCCTGATCACAAAACCTACATAAGATGTGACAAAGAGCTAAGCGTTACTTGCCATCCTACGGCCGAAAATACTGCGCCCAAGTATTTGTCTACGGCAAAACAGGAGAATCATCGAGGTAATGCACTGAGATATCGCCTGCAATGTAATTCAGCCGGAAAAGCTGAGTGACTGAGCCAACATGAACAAAAATTTTCTGTTATCTAAGTAAACCTAAGATGGAGGAACATATTTTAGGCAGGATAACATATAAATTATGAAGTGTGATCTGTTGGGCTTGCGATGTAAAGTTACTTTTTACTTACACTCCCCGTATTCTACCAATACCAATACTTGTTAGCCGCGATTACAAGTATGAAGCACATGCGCACAAGGCTTAAGGTAAGAAGGCTTCCAGTATTGCTGCCTTGTTTTCGCTTGTGCTCACTAATCGTTGGATTTGGGGCTGTAATTCTTGGAAATGCTTCTGAGTTTGCCCAACTGTTGGAATTTTGAGTTGCATGTAAAAGCGTACAAATTGGAATTCTGTTCAGGTCCTAATGTCAACCATAGATATAAGAGTTTCCCTCAGTTCATTATTTTCAGCTGAAACAAAATTAAGCATCCGAAAGATTGAGCGAGTGATATAAATTTTCACGGTTGAAGCAACCGTGTTTAGTTTTCCATAGCACTACTTAACCCGTCTCCAAAAATCCTGATATTTTACGGGCATATCGTTACCGTGTCGCCTAAATTTCTCCGTTGGTAACCTGTTAAACTTGACTCGAATCTGCTGTGTCTCGGAAGGCGCCTATGGTGAACCAGTTCATCATTTATAAGCCTTCGGTTAACTGAAGAGTTGTCATGGCATGCTTATATCCCAGAACTTGTACGAATAAACCCTTTAAAAAAGAGCAGCAGAAAGCTACCTGATGATATTCCGTTGTGATGCGATCAGCATCCAAACTACTAATGAGTAGTGAGAAACTAATAAATGTTGCACTTCTTGAAACTGCGCCACCTAGAGGGGGACGAGTGAAAAGGTGAGACGAGAATCGGACTAAACTGAGTTGCTAAAACGATCACAGTTTATTTGCAGCTCATTTACAACCATGCTTATTTTGTGTTCAGAGGTCTCACTTATCAAGTGAGGATATCTGACTTACAGATCCCCACCTGTGGGTTATTGAATGTGAACCAGAGGCGAGTGCCAGATGAAGATCCACAATGAGAGCAGAAATCACCTTACTTTCCCTGTCCTATTTTCTGGCACTTTACTCTGATGGTACTGGAGGGTTGAATTTTGTCGGGCAAATGCCCTTGAGGAGACACCAGGATGTCCGTGCGACTTTGGAAACTGTAGTAGTGCATCGCGTGCCATGCGAGATATTCACTATAGTTGAAGTCATCTCACACAGGCCCATTGAAGTTATTTTGCCCTTTTCCAAAACAACACATTTGTTTCCCCTCAATAAACTGCTCTTTTTGCCAATCTTTCCTTGAACCTTGAAGTGCTGGTGGGCATGAACAAGCAGGATGTAAGTCGGTTGGTTGCCCATTTATTTTGGTTTCGATGGACTGGTTCATTTCGGGTCAGGTTTTTATTCCTCCAGATGAACTATCCAGGAACTGTAGGGCGTAAGAACTGACGAATCGAGCAGAACGGACTTCAGCGCTAATATCACAGAAACCTGTCTATCTGAGCTGCGGATATGCCTCTCCACCCGAAATGCACTATCATTTCGACAGCTGATGAAACGTTTACAATCAAATTGTCCAGTTCAAGTAGCTATCAGAGCTTGCAGTGAAAGTCACGATACATGCGTGCACCATTCTACTGTGCTTCAGTTTCACTAAAATTATCTGGGCAAAAGAAGGGTTAACTGGTTATACTTTTGAATGATGATTTTTTAAGGCACCTAATATACAGATGCTTAGGTCTGCTCCAAGTTTCCTCCTCTTGTCGCATGTGACCGATGGCATGTAATCGGCTTGTAGTGCAACTCATATCTCACGATACACTAGACTAAAATTCATCATATTTGTGATAAATATGAATGTTCTTCACAAGATGCTGCAAATAGTAGAGAAAAGCACAGTTCTAATCAGTTGGGATGGGGGACAATGATCTTCACTTTAAGAAGAAATCAGTGAACGTTATTTTCTGCAACAAATAAGGCTAAGCCAAAGGTAGCTCGGTGGTTGAGGCGCGAACTTAAGTCCTGAAAGTCCCTGAGTTGAACCCAACATCTGCATATTTAGACTGCTCCTGTATAAGCTTGGGCAACCTCAGAGTGTTTCAGTCTTCGTGCTTTCTTCGGGTGGCACGGCAGCTGGACGCTATAAGAGTGTTACAGTTGATGCTTGGTTGTTCTACTGTATTTGTTATAGACCATTATATTCGTATATTACCGGCCTGTACTGAATAAACCGTTTTCGGAGTCTAATTTGACCTCTGACGGTCAGAGTTGCTATGTCAACTTTGAACCAAGTTTATATGATATCTGAACTTTTAGCTAACCCCGCTTGGGCGAAGTCGTACCTCCACTATGGAAATCTGTTAAAATCAACGAGCTATAAGCCAAATGTAACTATGCATTTGGTAACCTTCCATTTTGCAGTAAATGCTCCGAGCTTTTTGCAACATGCTCCTACCAAGATGTGCGTGTTTTCAACACTGGGACACAACAAGAACTGCTCCGGATTACCATACCAAATATGACATGTTACTGCCTGGATATCTTGACCGATGGGACGGCGATTCTCTCAGGTAGGTTTTACACAGTTCGACCAACATTTGTTAGACTTACAATGCGGTTCTTGGTTCAGCTGACCCGACATTATTACTGCCAATGAACGGTCACACCAGTGAATCTAAAGGTTCTTCATTGTTCACAGGAGAGAATAGGTCAATAGTTGGTATCACCAATTCCACCAAAGTTTACCCTACTGGTCACCTAGCGCTACTATCTTTTTCAAATTACTTATTGTGAAGGTACAGATGCATCGTTTTCTGGTTTCCTGTTGTATGGTCGAAGTGTGACGAAGAAAGTTTATTAGGAACCACGAAGTCTGCTTGTTGTCAGTGCCGTCCTTACTGCTTTTCGGTCTCTAGATAAACATTTTGGACTGGCACATCTGACGTATATCTTACGAAGTTATGGCGGGTCTGGATGAGGTTACGTTCTCTGAAAGACTTTTAAATCTAAAACTCGTGACTATAAATTGCTCGGTTGGTTCTGCTGTGGCAGGACTGCTTAAAACTGGTTTCCTTGCTTTTTTAATGACCGACATTATAGTCATCATTACTTCTGTCCCTATTGCCATAAGAAAAATAATAATGAACACTTTTCATTAATCCCAATCGTCCCTTAGGCTGGGATGATAGTAAAATACGTGCATTCTATCCGGAAACTGGTCGACTCATGTATTCTATCCACAATGCACACAAGAAGGGTGTGACTGCGATATGTTCAACCTCAAAGTGCAACCGAATCATTAGTGGGGGTGGTGAGGGCCATCTTCGAGTTTGGGATATCAAAGAAATTCGCCCGAAGATAGAGAAATTTGGACACCGTCGTCTACGCCATCGTCATTCCGCCGGTCGCCTGGAAGCTGGTGACGATGCGGGCATACCTGAATCAAGCTTTGTCACAGTACTGGTCGCCGCTATGCACGAACATACGAACGCTGTTTCCTGCATCCAAATTAGCAAGGACGACAAATCCTGTGTCTCGGCGTCCGCTGATTCTACATGTATAATCTGGTGCTTGGAGTAAGTGGGTGCAAGATTTGATTTTTCTGTTTCACGATCGGAAATTATGTTTACATGTTCCAAAGAGATTTACACAAAAGGCCAGTCCAGCCAAGAGTTAACCGCATGCTGCTGGACTGTTGGCGATTAAGGTTCGTCCTCCGATACAAACTCTTGTCTAAATGTTGTTCACATGTTATTATCAATGAAAAGGAGGGATACACGGTTCAAAAACTGGCCTATTACACAGGAATCACGCTTGTCTGTTCTATCCGCTAGTACTTTCTTTGTGATTTGCAGATAGCCTCATTGACAGCGCTTGCTAGAGAGTGAAGGAAAGGCTGAATAAGATTGGAGTTATTTCAGCAGGCAAATCGATTAGGCGGATACCAGTGACAGGTAGACAAAGCAACACCGATCTTTCTAGGACTACCTTCCGTTCTGGCAAGAAACTTCATCCACGATGCCGTTCCAAGCACTCTTTAGTCCTGTTAACATTATGATCAAAAGACTGACTTTTGATGATGATGATGGTGATGATGATGATGATAATGCATGATAATGCATCTAGCGCTGCGAATAACTCACTTTGGTCCTCACAAAAGACTAGGTCTCTAATACTTGCTTTGGAAAACATCTAGGAGACGTTTGACCGGGCACAGTCTCTCTCCAACTCGCATAACAAGGTTCTATCCAAGAAGTCCAACTTCTGGGATATTTCTCCATTCCTGAGAAAATGAGTGATCGACTGCATTTGTTCCCAACTTTTTACTCTCATCCTCGGTTTCTGGTTGCTGAACTTACCCATGTGATCAGTATAGGGCTGTGGTGGACCTGTCAAATGCTACGACCGAGTCTCTCTCTGGCGGCCATGGTAGGTGACGTCATCCAGCACATCATCGTCGGGTCCGGTGGACCTCATATGTGGTAACTAGTGTTACAAAAGTGTCAAAAACAAGTTGGTTTGATGAGATGCCACCTGTCACTATCTTGCACTTTCTTCGTCCCTACGATTTATACTCCCCGTTTATGGATGCATTATCTCCAGAGAACTACCAGAACTTTTTTTGGTTTCATACTCAGTAGACGATAGGACAAATCTGCACTGATATGGAAAAGACGTTCTCTTAATTACATCCATGTAACGCTTCAGTCACAATGCCAAAGAACAAAAATACATTCTATGACAACTGAGAGACAGTGAATGATAGACAGGCCCAGGTCAAGCCAAGAATAGAACCCCCAATTGAATTGTCACTAGTGTAGGACAAACTACCCACAGTCTCTAAGTAGCTCAGTGGAAGAACAAAAAAATTCACCCGAGTAGTGGAACCCCCTCTGTTAATTCATCACTAGAGTTCGCCAACACCTGTGACTACGTCATGTGGATCTCGTGACTGAAGGATGAGTGGCACTGTGTCCTGTGTAAGCGCCAGCTAGTCATACTGCTGACCAGCCGCTCGTTACCCAACGGCTAAGTGTTCAAACTACCAGCCAGAAGGTTACGGGTTTTAGACTCCGGATTCATGTGAGATGTGCACTGCTGATGATTCCCAATGAGGATGAAACAGCTGTACATTACTTCTCAGTTTTTCAGAATAGAGTGGTTGCACTTACAAAGCGAAATCTTCATTAAAGATTGCTAGCCATTGTCATGCGTAACTCGCATTCGGCCACATTGGCACTTGAATTGATGTCATATGCGATTTAGTCTCCGTAGTTCATGCATCTTGGTGCTTCCTTTGAGACATTCGATTCAAACGACTGCTTATGGGCCGAATGCGTGCCAAGGTTGTGTATCCGATCTCCTGTCCACGTGACAAGTTTGTCATTGCCAGTACGACTAAGTCTCCAAGTGAACAGTAAGGCTTTTCGGCAGCGAAAACACCCTTCAGCGTTCCCCGCTCTGATCGAATTGATCTAATCCCGGTTTGCACTGGCTGTCATCCGCCAACAAGAATTACGGCCCATTTCACACACCAAACATGCTTCCTTTTACCTGAAAGCCTTCACCTATGGTCGTTGGCTTGTTCGCTGAGCTGGGCAATTTGGTTGCAAACGTTTCAACACCAATCGAGGTGACATCATCAGTGCGTAGTTGTGCGTAGCGGTGGGTTAGTGGTTGTGCGTTCAGTAGTGTTACGTGTGTGTTGATATACGTGCTGGTAGCCGGGGATGACCATTGACCGCGCCTAGTTATTCTGTCGGGCGGTTCCATTGGTTGTTCTTTTATCCCGTGTCCTCATTCGCTGATGCCCACGTGACCTTGGAATTTGGCATCCCTCGCCGTCGTAGTCTGGTCGGTGTTGGATTGACCTTTGTCCTTCCCAGTTCCGTTGTGACCTTTATTGATTTGATTCCGAGGAGTTCCTTGTTTCTTCGTTTGTTAATCCATTATTCGGTCCTCCTTGAGTGTTTCGGTTGTGATGTTGATCTCTCGCACGTAGAGGTGCGTAAATTGGATCCAGTTCGATGCA